GGGACGCGAAAATCGCATCCTGGGCAGGCTGGCAGCCATCTGCAGCCTGGGAGAGGAAACGTTGATACAGTAAAGAGTTTGGAGTCAGTAAAACACAAAGTAACACTATAGAGAGGAAAACGTTACAATTAATTGATACTTTATTGGGGGGATTTGCTACAATGTTAGGAGAGGGGAATAAAACGAGGCAAACGGAAAGATTCTTGATTGAAGCTGCTTTGGCCACGCTCCCTGGAAGTTGGCCCAAGCAGGCAGTGGAGAACTGTGAAACTCCCTGCTGCAGGTCAGATTAGCTTGAAAGCAGGGAGTTCTGGATTCGGCCTCAATATGGTTGTGTGGAAGAGGAAAAGATAAAGCAGAATATAAATTAATAAATAAATAAACATGCGACAGCAGGATTAACAAGAAACAACTGGAAAAGCTGACACGATATGAGGATTTGAAGATCGAACTGCAAAGACTCTGGCACAAACCAGTCAAGGTGGTCCCAGTGGTGATCAGCACACTGGGTGCAGTGCCTAAAGAGCTTGGGCTGCACTTAAACACAATCGGCACTGACAAGATCACCATCTGCCAGCTGCAAAAGGCCACCTTACTGGGATCTGCTCGCATTATCTGCTGATACATCACATAGTCCTAGACACTTGAGAAGTGTCCGACATGTGATCCAATTCAACAGCCAGCAGAGTGTCTGCTGTGGACTCACCTTGCTGTGTTTCTAATAATGATGATGATGATTATTATTATTATTATTTAAGGAGCATCCAGCACACTCCCAAGATAGTTCCACTGTTGGAACTCACTCCTTGGATTAGTAGGTGTCTTGTGGCCAAATTTGGCGGCAATTTGTCTAATGAATTTAGAGTTATGATGTCACTCAAAATGAACAGAGCATTTTAATATAAATAGATTGTTTTACATTACAATGTGCTATCTTGAAGTCTAGTGGAGTCTCCTTCTTTAACCAGAGGCAGGATGGCTATCTGTCGGGAGTGCTTTGATGGTGTCCTCCTGCCTAGCAGGAAGGGCCTGGACTGGAGGATTCTTGGGGTCTCTTCTAGTTCTAGTTTCCATAATTCTGCTTTTTTTCAAAGGGTCAGGGCTAGCTGATTGAAAACTTTGGCCTTTGGAAAGAGAGTGGCAGCTATTTGAGGTCGGACGGGGCTTTAAGCACAGCTGGAGGCGCATCCCCTTTTCCGCACGTTCCTCTGGACCATCTGTGTGCTTTGTCATGACCGCAGGGAATCAAAGGGACACTTTCATGCATGTGGCAGAACAGGCAAGGGCAGCCTCATGTGAATCACATGCTTCTGGAGCAAGATTGATTTCTGCTGCGCTGGAGACTAGGATACAATGGAGCTGTGGATTCAAATTGCAGGAAAAGGGATTTTGCCTAAACATTAAAAAGATCATAAGAGTTGGGAGAGACCACAAGGGCCATCCAGTCCTACCCGCTACTGCCTTGATGCAGGAAAAGCACAAAGCAGCCCGGAAAGATGGCCGTCCAGCATCTGTTCCAAAGCCCCCCAAAATTATTTTTGTGTATTTTAATATGTATTTTCTGGAAATATGTTTTAATATGTATATTTCAATGAATGTTTTAAGATGAACATTTGTTCATCTAAGCAATGCTTCTACACAATTAACTCCTCTGGACTGGCCATATTGTCCGAATGCCCGATCACCGTCTCCCAAAGCAGTTGCTCTACTCTGAACTCAAGAACGGAAAAGATAATGTTGGTGACAGGAAAAGAGATTTAAAGATGGGCTCAAAGCCAACCTTAAAAACTCTGGCATAGACACTGAGAACTGGGAAGCCCTGGCCCTTGAGCGCTCCAGCTGGAGGTCAGCTGTGACCAGCAGTGCTGCAGAATTTGAGGAGGCACAAGTGGAGGATGAAAGAGAGAAACGTGCCAGGAGGAAGGCACGTCAAGCCAACCCCGACCGGGACCGCCTTCCACCTGGAAACCGATGCCCTCACTGTGGGAGACGATGCAGAGAACATTGAGAACTGGAAAGCCCTGACCCTTGAGCGCTCAGCTGGAGGTCAGCTGTGACCAGCAGTGCTGCAGAATTCGAAGAGGCATGAATGGAGGGCAAAAGAGAGAAACATGCCAAGAGGAAGGCACATCAAGCCAACCCTGACCGGGACCACCTTCCACCTGGAAACCGATGTCCTCAATGTGAGAGAAACATGCAGGTCAAGAATAGCCACCTACGGACCTACCACCAAGACACTGGACTTGGAGGATCATCATCCTCAGGTTATGAGGGATCACCTAAGAAAGTAAGTTTTAATGATATTGTAACCCACCTCAATAATAATAACAACAAAAACAACAACAACAACAACAACAACAACAACAACAACAACAATAATAATAATTTGAAACACAACAAGATTAGTACACAGCAAACACGGTCACTCTGCTGGCTGTTGTATTGGATCACATGTCGGACACTTCCCAAGTGTCTAGGACTGTGTGATGAATTGGCGAATAATGCCAATATTATTATTATTATTATTATTATTATTATTATTATTATTATTATTAGCTGTGGCCCAGTCTGGTGATCTGGAAAATAAAGTAATGAGAAAGTGTTGGTTTCTAATATATGTAATTCCTTTATGCTTGTGAGTAAACAGTATTTCTTGTTGTTTCTTTGTCAGTTTGAGAGTGTCTGGTTTGCCTACTCTGGAATATGCAACATATCATAGTCCTTCTTTAAGGGTCTCTTTCAAATCTATGATACTGTGATACTATGATACTTCACTTCACTTAGGCGATCCCTCGCTTTCCGAGGATGATTGTCTTCCAATATTCTTGTGGGTCCGTATGTGGCTGTGGAGCCCTATTCTTGCTCTGCATCTTCTTCCGCAGTGAGGGCATTGGTTTCCAGGTGGAAGGCGGTCTCGGCCGGGGTTGGCTTGACGCGCCTTCCTCTTGGCACGTTTCTCTTTTTCACCCTCCACTCGTGCCTCCTCAAATTCTGCAGCACTGCTGGTCACAGCTGCCCTCCAGCTGGAGCGGTCAAGGGCCAGGGCTTCCCAGTTCTCAGTGTCTATGCCAGAGTTTTTAAGGTTGGCTTTGAGCCCATCTTTAAATCTCTTTTCCTGTCCTCCAACTTTCCGTTTTCCATTCTGTTCAGAGTAGAGCAACTGCTTTGGGAGACGGTGGTCGGGCATCCGGACAACATGGCCGGTCCAGCAGAGTTGGTGGTGGAGGACCATCGCTTCAATGCTGGTGGTCTTTGCTTCTTCCAGCACACTGACATTTGTCCGCTTGTCTTCCCAAGAGATTTGCAGGATTTTTTGGAGGCAGCGCTGATGAAATCGTTCCAGGAGTTGCATGTGACGTCTGTAGACAGTCCATGTCTCACAGGCATAGAGCAGGGTTGGGAGGACAATAGCTTTATAAACAAGCACCTTGGTATCCCTATGATACTATCTGTGTGTGAGAGAGAGAGAATCATATCTATCTATCTATATTTATGACTGGATGGCTCTTTGTCAGGAGGGCTCTGATTACATTTTCTTGCCCTGGTGAAGAGAGTTGGACTGGATGGCCTTAAGTATTTTCTGTTGGTCATGGGGGTTCTGTGTGGGAAGTTTGCCCCATTTCTGTCATTTGTGGGTTTCAGAATTCTCTTTAATTGTAGTGAAGTATAAATCCCAGTAAGTACAAATCCCAAATGTCAAGGTCTATTTCCTCCAAACTTCATCTGCATTCATATTTAGGTATATGGAATATTTGTGTCAAGTTTGGTCCAGATCCATCATTGTTTGAGTCCACAGTGCTCTCTGGATGTAGGTGAACTACAACTCCCAAACTCAAGGTCAATGCCCACCAAACCCTTCCAGTGTGTTCTGTTGGTCATGGAAGTCCTGTATGCCATGTTTGGTTGAATTCCATCTTTGATGGAGTTCTGAATGCTCTTTGATTGTTGGTGAACTATAAATCCCAACAACTACAACTCCCAAATGTCAAGGTCTATTTCCCTTAAACTCCATCTGTGTTCATATTTAGGCATATGGAATATTCGTGCCAAGTTTGGTCCAGATCCATCATTGTTTGAGTCCACAGTGCTCTCTGGATGTGGGTGAACTATAATTCCCAAACTCAAGGTCAATGTCCACCAAACCTTTTTCTGTTGGTCATGGGAGCCCTGTGTGCTAAGTTTGGCCCAATTCCATCATTGGTGGAGTTCAGAATGCTCTTTGATTGTAGGTAAACTATAAATCCCAGCAACGACAATTCCCAAATGACAAAATCATTTTTTTTTGAGTGGAGGACATAAATTGGACTGTTAGGTGTCTTGTGTCCAAATTTGGTGTCAATTCCCCCAGTGGTTTTTGAGTTCTGATGGTAGCACGAACTAACATTACATTTTTATTTATATAGATTATTAATATTATTATTTTTTAAGGAGCATCCAGCACACTCCCAAGATAGAGAGTTCCACTGTTGAAACAGTTCTTCTTATGGTCAGGAGAACATGATATAGATCAGGCATGGGCAAATTTCTGCCCTCCAGGTACTTTAGACTCAAACTCCCACAATTCCTAACAGCCTACCTGCTAGGCTCTTGTGGGTTTTTTCGGGCTATATGGCCATGTTCTAGAGGCATTCTCTCCTGACGTTTTTCCTGCATCTATGGCAAGCATCCTCAGAGGTAGTGAGGTCTGTTGGAACTAGGAAAATGGGTTTATATATCTGTGGAATGACCAGGGTGGGGCAAAGGACTCTTGCCTGCTGGAGCTAGGTGTGAATGTTTCAACTGACCACCTTCATTAGCATTTGAAGGCCTGCCTGAGCCTGGGAAAATCTCTTGCTGGGAGGTGTTAAGATGTGCCTGGATGTTTCTGCTGTTAGGAATTCTGGGAGTTGAAGTCCAAAACACCTGTAGGGCCAACATTGGCCCATGCCTTGTTTAAAGGCTGGAACAGCTATGCTGCAACGCACACTGGGATGTCCTTCAATCCCCTCCCTTTCAAATCTAGGGGTGTCCAGGCACCGACCATCATCCCAGCTGGGTTCCTGTGTGCCCATCGAACCGTATGTCCCTCCGGCTGTGCTGTGACAATCCTCATTTGTCACAAGCCGAAGGAGACAAAAGGCCTTGTTCTCTCAACACTGGAGCAACTGTTGTGTCATGCGTCAGGCGCACCGCCCGGCCTGGTTGGTGCTCCCACGTCGTTTGCCAGCTGACGAAAGAGGTGGAGCGAGCGGCATATCCTTCCCTTTCCCTATCCTGCTGTCAACGTGCCAGCAAAACACACACCGCCAGGAAAAAGAAGAGTACACTCAGGAGGAGATATAGCTTTGCATGTCTGGATTGGCTCATCTTCAAGGAAAGAGACACTCAGGCCTGGCATTGTGACATAGCCAGGGTTCTGCTGCTTGGCTTGGCCCTCGACACCAGACTCTCCTAGCTGCGGCCAAGAAGGAATTGTTTCTCCTGGCGTTCAAAGGCAGGTGTCCAGCTCACCTGTGACCTTGCTTGGCTGCCCCTTCCCCTTTGGAGTTTGGATGAAGAAGAGAGAATTGCTCACCGAGACGCAGGCGTCCGGCTGACCTTGGGCCATGGGCAATGGCATGAATAAGGTAACAGGGGCAACAGGGGTAAGGAAACACCTTCCTGCTACGAATCCCTATATTGATCTCCCTGCTGTCAAAACTGTTTATTCTTTTTTATTGTTATGGAATTCTTTTATTTGTAGGCTGTAGAATAGAGTCTGACTGCATTGGAGTGCATTGTATGCGTCTACACTGCATTCTATGGCACTGGAGATCCAGCCACAGGCCCCATCTACCCTGTGGTCAGTGTAGACCCATAAATGCAGGACCAGGCTAGTTAGTAGCAAGCTGCGTTAAATCACTACTGACCGAATGGTCATGCGTTCCAAGCCAGCCTGGGTCGGAGTGAGCTCCCAACCATTAATAGTCTTGCTTGCTGTTGACCTATGCAGCCCAAAAAACAGTTGCATCTGTCAAGTAGGAGATTTAGGTACTGCTTTATGCCATGAAAACCATAAAACCATGGAAACCATAAAAGGCCCCATCTGTCGTCGTTATTTTGTAAATTGTATATTGTATTTTGTGAATTGTTGGGCATCGAATTGTGCCTTTTGTAAGCCGCCCTGAGTCCCCCCCCTAGGGGGTTGAGAAGGGCGGGGTAGAAGCACTCCAAATAAATAAATAAATAAATTATCAAAGTAAAGATTTCTCCTGACATTAAGTCTAGTCATGTCCGACTGGGGGTTGGCGCACATCTCCATTTCTAAGCTGAAGAGCCGGCATTGTCCATAGACACCTCCAAGGTCATGTGACCAGCTTGACTGCATGGAGAGCTGTTACCTTCCTGCTGGAGTGGAACCTATTGATCTATTCACAATGTCATGTTTTCAAACTGCTAGGTTTTCAGAAGCTGGGGCTAACAGTGGGAGCTCATCCCACTCCCCGTATTTGAACCGCTGACCTTCCGATTAGCAAGTTCAGCAGTGGTTTAACCCGCTGCACCACCAGAGGGGCCTTGGTTATATGAACTATATTATAGGAGTCTGCACTGAACATATAATGTAGTTTCAAACTGCATTATATGGCAATTCAGATGGGTTGGCGATTAGTCAGGGTTGTGCATCTGCTTTATGCAACTAATGCAGTTCAATGCTCCAGGCTATAGAATCATGAGAGTTGCAAGTTTTTACGGTTCTTTTAGTTTTTTCTGGTGTTGTCACAGGACCTCCCTAAACTACAAATCCTAGGATTCAATAACATTGAAGTATGGCAGTTAAAGTGGTGTCAAACTGTATTCCTTCTACAGGAGAGATCAGGCATGGGCCAACTTGGGCCCTCCAGGTGTTTTGGACTTCAACTCCCACCATTCCTAACAGGCTCAGGCCCCGTTCTTTCCCCCCTCAGCCGTTTAAGGGAAAGGAAAGGACCTGAGGCTGTTAGGAATGGTGGGAGTTGAAGTCCAAACACATTCAGATACAGTATACAGTAGGCTTGGTTGATCCAAACAAAAAAATGGTTCAAAACTCATTTTGATATAGGGAGTGCTGGTGGTTCTATTCTAAAGTCAATTCCGATTTTCAAAGAAAAAACATTTCAAAACTTTTCGAAACTTCCGAGACTTCTGAATCCTTTCGTTAATGATTTAAAAGTATTATTTCCTGTTTCATTGGGTGGGTGGTCTTTACTCTGAAAGTAGTTGTTTTACTCCAGAAGCGGGGGAAAGCAAGTGGAAGAAATTCCTTCCTTCTCCGGTTTAAAACTGGCTTCTCTGGCTTGAGCTGATACCAGGAAATTCTTTCCTTCTCTGGTTTAAAACTGGCTTCTCTGGCTTTAAAACTGGCTTCTCTGGCTTGAGCTGAGGCCAGGAAATTCCTTCCTTCTCTGGTTTAAAACTGGCTTCTCTGGCTTGAGCTGAGGCCAGGAAATTCCTTCCTTCTCTGGTTTAAAACTGACTTCTCTGGCTTGAGCCGAGGCCAGGAAATTCCTTCCTTCTCTGGTTTAAAACTGGCTTCTCTGGCTTGAGCCGAGGCCAGGAAATTCCTTTCTTCTCTGGTTTAAAACTGGCTTCTCTGGCTTGAGCCGAGGCCAGGAAATTCCTTGCTTCTCTGGTTTAAAACTGGCTTCTCTGGCTTGAGCTGATACCAGGAAATTCTTTCCTTCTCTGGTTTAAAACTGGCTTCTCTGGCTTTAAAACTGGCTTCTCTGGCTTGAGCTGAGGGCAGGAAATTCCTTCCTTCTCTGGTTTAAAAACTGACTTCTCTGGCTTGAGCTGAGGGCAGGAAATTCCTTCCTTCTCTGGTTTAAAACTGGCTTCTCTGGCTTGAGCCGAGGCCAGGAAATTCCTTCCTTCTCTGGTTTAAAACTGGCTTCTCTGGCTTGAGCCGAGGCCAGGAAATTCCTTCCTTCTCTGGTTTAAAACTGGCTTCTCTGGCTTGAGCCGAGGCCATGAAATTCCTTCCTTCTCTGGTTTAAAACTGGATTCTCTGGCTTGAGCTGATACCAGGAAATTCTTTCCTTCTCTGGTTTAAAACTGGCTTCTCTGGCTTTAAAACTGGCTTCTCTGGCTTGAGCTGAGGGCAGGAAATTCCTTCCTTCTCTGGTTTAAAAACTGACTTCTCTGGCTTGAGCTGAGGGCAGGAAATTCCTTCCTTCTCTGGTTTAAAAACTGACTTCTCTGGCTTGAGCTGAGGGCAGGAAATTCCTTCCTTCTCTGGTTTAAAAACTGACTTCTCTGGCTTGAGCTGAGGGCAGGAAATTCCTTCCTTCTCTGGTTTAAAAACTGACTTCTCTGGCTTGAGCTGAGGGCAGGAAATTCCTTCCTTCTCTGGTTTAAAACTGGCTTCTCTGGCTTGAGCCGAGGCCAGGAAATTCCTTGCTTCTCTGGTTTAAAACTGGCTTCTCTGGCTTGAGCCGAGGCCAGGAAATTCCTTGCTTCTCTGGTTTAAAACTGGCTTCTCTGGCTTGAGCTGATACCAGGAAATTCTTTCCTTCTCTGGTTTAAAACTGGCTTCTCTGGCTTTAAAACTGGCTTCTCTGGCTTGAGCTGAGGCCAGGAAATTCCTTCCTTCTCTGGTTTAAAACTGGCTTCTCTGGCTTGAGCTGAGGCCAGGAAATTCCTTCCTTCTCTGGTTTAAAACTGGCTTCTCTGGCTTGAGCCGAGGCCAGGAAATTCCTTCCTTCTCTGGTTTAAAACTGGCTTCTCTGGCTTGAGCCGAGGCCAGGAAATTCCTTCCTTCTCTGGTTTAAAACTGGCTTCTCTGGCTTGAGCCGAGGCCAGGGACCAGAAGTGAGGAGAAGCTGAATAATTTCCAACTCACTTCCCAAGTCATAACAAAAATGGCAGGAAAAGCTTTTGAAGGACAAAGGAACTTCTGGTTTTTTAAAGCTTTGATATCTCTTCAAAAAGGTGATTTAAATGAAATTATTACGAGCAACGAGTTATCCGATACGAGCAACGAGTTATCCGATATGACTCTATCCATGCCTAGTATACAGTAAATAAGGAACACCACTCAGAAATAGGGGAACTCCGGACAGCAAACAATCAAGTGCCAGTTAACACTTCCCAAACAGAGGATGCCTCCAGGCAAATACTGTCAGGCTTTGAAGTTGCATGGCATTTCAATGCTAATTAAGTTGGTTAATTGCAACATTCACACTTGCCTCAAATAGACAAGAGTTCTTTCTCCCACCCTGGACATTATTCCACAGATATATATACGCTCCACATGCCTCATTTCCAACAGACCTCACAAACCTCTGAGGATGCCATTAGCCACAGATGCAGGCGAAATGTCAGGAGAAAATGCTACCGGAACATGGCCAAACAGCTCGAAAAAATCTCAGCAACCCATTGATAAAGTGTTTAAACCAGGCATGGGCAAACTTCGGCCCTCCAGGTGTTTTGGACTTCAACTCCCACCATTCCTAACAGCCTGAGGCCGGATTATCTGAGTCTAGGTAAAGGTAAAGGTTTTCCCCTGACATTGCCTGGTGCTCTGGCCTCTGGTCTTTGGTGCTCATCTCCGTTTCTAAGCTGAAGAGCCGGCGTTGTCCATAGACACCTCCAAGGTTATGTGGCCAGCATGACTTAATGGAACGCCATTACCTTCCCACCAGAGCAGTACCTATTGATCTACTCACATTAGCATGTTTTCAAACTGTTAGGTTGGCAGAAGCTGGGGCTAACAGTGGGAGCTCATGCTGCTCCCTGAATTTGAACCACTGACCTTTCAGTCAGCAAGTTCAGCAGCTCAGTGGTTTAACCCACTACACCACCAGGGGCCCCATCTACACTGCCATATAATCCAGTTCAAAGCAGATAATCTGGATTTTATATGGCAGTGTAGAAGAGGGATCAGGCTGAATCTATACTGCCATATAATGCAGTTTGACATTGAATTATGTGATCAATGTAGACCCCTAAAATGCAGTAAAGCCACAACTCCCATAATTTTAATCTTTTAACTGGCCCTGCCCACTGTGATCATTTTTAGTGGTTTAATGTTGGGATTTTATATTGCTGTGCTGCATATTTACACTGGTTTTGTATTTTATGTTATTTTATTTTCTGATTTTCTGCTGTGTTTTTGTGTTATATTGTGTTTTCTGTATTGATGGGCTCATGTAAGCTGCCCTGAGTCCCCTTTGGGGAGATGGTGGCGGGGTATAAATAAAGATTATTATTATTATTATTTATTATTATTATTATTATTATTATTATTATCCCATGACACTGAGCCATGGCAATGGAAGTGGTGTCAAACTGAGGTGAAACTGGGCTGGTTGGGAAAGGTTTAATGTCAAGATATCCAAACTGACTGCTCTTCTTCCTAAGACCCCAGAACTACAACTCACCCGAGTTTTCTTTTTCTATCTCACAGGTTCTTCCTGGACTTTTCCTTGGAAACTTCATTGGTGAGTGAGCTGCAGAATGAAGTGCCTTTTGTCCTTTATGTGGATTTAATGTAATTCCAGACAACCTCGGGCCCCTTATACACTGCCATATACAATCCAGATTATCTGCTTTGAACTAGATTATATGGCAGTGTAGACTCATATAATCTAGTTCTAATCATATAACCTGGATTATTTGATTTGATAAGATTATATGGCAGTGTAGAAGGGGCCTAAGAGGCTCTAGCACAGTAGTTCTCAACCTACCTAATGTCACGACCCCTTAATCCAGTTCCTCATGTTGTGGTGACCCCAACCATAACATTATTTTTGTTGCTACTTCTTAACTGAATTTTGCTACTGTTATGAATCGTAATGTAAATATCTGATATGCAGGATGTATTTTCATTCACTGGACCAAATTTGGCACACATACCCAATACACCCAAAAATGAATACTGGTGGGGTTGGAGGAGATTGATGTTGTAATTTGGGAGTTGTAGGTGCTGGGATTTATAGTTCGCCTACAATCAAAGAGCTTTCTGAACTCCACCAACGAAGGAATTGAATCAGACCTGGCCACACAGAAATCCCATGACCAACAGAAAATGCTAGAACGGCTTGGTGGGCATTGACCTTGAGTTTGGGAGTTGTTGTTGTTGTTCATTCGTTCAGTCATCTCCGACTCTTTGTGACCTCATGGACCAGCCCACGCCAGAGCTCCCTGTCGGCCGTCACCACCCCCAGCTCCTTCAAGGTCAGTCCAGTCACTTCAAGGATGCCATCCATTTTGCCCTTGGTCAGCTCCTCTTCCTTTTACCTTCCACTATCCCCAGCATAATTGTCTTCTCTAGGCTTTGCTATCTCCTCATGATGTGGCCAAAGTACTTCGAGTTTGGGCGTTGTAGTTCACCTAAATCCAGAGAGCACTGTGGACTCAAACAATGATGGATCTGGACCAAACTTGGCACGAACTCAATATGCCCAAATGGTGGAGTTTGGGGAAAATAGACCTTGACATTTGGGAGTTGTAGTTGCTGGGATTTATAGTTCACCTACAATCAAAGAGCATTCTGAACCCACCAATGATAGAATTGGGCCAAACTTCCCACACAGAAAACCCCATGACCAACAGAAATATTGTTTCTGATGGTCTTTGGGGACCCCTCTGACACCCCCTCGCAACCCCCCAGGGGTCCCGACCCCCAGGCTGAGAAACACTGCCTTAGGATCTAGGTCAGACCTTTCCAAACATTTCATGTTGGTGACATGCCTGCATCTATGGCAAGCATCTGAGGATGCTTGCCATAGATGCAGGCGAAATGTCAGGAGAGAATGCCTCTAGAACATGGCCATATAGCCCAAAAAAACCTACAACAACCCAGTGATTTTGGCCATGAAAGCTGTCCTACTTGACAGATGCAACTGTCTTTCGGGCTGCATAGGTCGACAGCAAGCTAGACTAATGACCGGAAGCTCACTCCAAACCGGGCTAGCTTCGAACTCATGACCTCTCGGTCAGTAGTGATTTAATGCAGCTGGCTATCAGCTAGCTGTGCCACAGCCCGGTCCACACTAGTTTATAATCCGGATTATCAAATGAGATAATCCAGTTCAAAGTAGATAATCTGGACTTTATATGGCATCGTAGATGGGGCCTATAATCCCAGATTTCTGGAGGATGGAACCATGACAGCTAAGAGTACATCCACACTGTAGACTGAACACAGTTTGTCACCACTTCAACTACTATGGCTCAGTGCTATGGAATCATAAAATTTTTACTGCCAAATGGAGCTAGTGTCTCACCAAACGACAACTTCCAGGATTCCATAGCACTGAGCCATGGCAGTCAAAGTGGTGTCAAACTGTATTGATTCTACAGCGTAGATGCACCCCCAAATTATGTCAGATCCCTGCAATGGTATGGCATACTGACCGGGTTGCACATGCTGTCCTTAGCACTTACTGTGGAAAGAATGCCAGGCACATAGCGGAGGCAAAGTAAAACCACCCTTGGTTCCTGCTGTTCCTGAAATATTACACTCGGCATTTGTCCATCTGGATTTCTAAGAACCTGCTTCTGCTCGTGCTTTGAACAGGTGGATGCAAAAGAACCTCACAATGCAAGCGTTAGCAATTGCGTTGAGTAATTGGTACAGAGACATTTGGCTTCTTGGTTGGACCACCACTATGTACATAGAATCATAGAATCCTAGAGTTGGAAGAGACCTCACGGGCCATCCAGTCCAACCCCATTCTGCCAAGAAACTTGTTCTGTTGTGCGCTGGGCCTGTAAAGAATTGTCTTTAAATTAGGACGTGCAACTTGAGCCCAGCAGGAAGCCAGGGCCCTCTGAAGTGAAGCTCTCAGGGATTCTCCACCACAAATGGTCTTTAGATGGCTTGTGAAGTATAACAAAGTCCTTTATTAATGAACAATCAAACAGAAACTTTTCTTGTCTTCAATAAAGTTAAACAAATGCTTCCAGGCTTTTATGCAACTGGTGGCTTCCTAATCTTGCCCACGAAGGACAGGCAACTGTCTTCAATAATTAATTCTTTACTTTAAGGAAAATCCCTTTTTAACTTCTCCCAGGCTGACTGTAATCTAATCCTTACTGATGTGGGCTCCGCTACCGGGTCGATCTGCATCTCGAGCACCGAGTGGACCTACCAGTAAGGCTAGTAGATTCTCCAGCTGGAGTTTTGTGGCCTTCCAAATTGTTTACCCTCCGAAATTCCTCCAGGCTTTAGAGCTGTTTTCCTGGAAATCTTTGGAGATCTTTGGATGCTCTTAAGACTGTTCTCCCCCAGAAAGTCTTAAGGGTTGAAGCTTTTGTACAGGAGAAGCTTGTACACGTCCTCTACATTAGCTTTCCTTACTGAGACTAACTAAAAATGGCTCCCTTCCCTTCCCAATTGCCCTGAGCAAGGGGCAGAACCAAACTTAATGATGATGGACAGGTGACTTGCCCTATGACTGCAACCTTGGACTACAAGCAAACATTTAATACAAAGCAAATAAGATTGGAGCTCCTGGTACAGCCGTACCAGCACAAGCTGGAAAATTGCATTCAAAGCACCCCTGACAGATGGCCATCCAGCCTCTGTTTAAAAGCTTCCAAAGAAGGAGCCTCTACCACACTTCAGGGCAGAGAGTTCCACTGCTGAACAGCTCTCACAGTCAGGAAGTTCTTCCTAATGTTCAGATGGAATCTCCTCTCTTGTAGTTTGAAGCCATTGTTCCACGTCCTAGTCTCCAGGAAAGCAGAAAACAAGCTTGCTCCCTCCTCCCTGTGGCTTCCTCTCACATATTTATACATGGCTATCATATCTCCTCTCAGCCTTCTCTTCTTCAGGCTAAACATGCCCAGCTCTTTAAGCCGCTCCTCATAGGGATTGCTTAGGCAATGCTTTAATATCCCTTCTGGCTGCTTGAAGCAATACCTAACAATCTTTGCACCTTTCAGGGTGATGATGAAGAAGAGCCAATTGGGCATTTAATCCATGTGTAAAATACAGTTCTGATAGACGTGTGACAAACACCTGGGGAATGACTGAGAGGGTGTGATGAAATAGCAGAAATGGATGAGTCATAATGACTGGAGGTTGCATCATTCATTTGTCCCTTAGTGATGACAAGTCACTAGGTGGCTATAAAATAGGCATGGGCAAACCTGGGCAGGTGTTTTGGACTGTTTTGGACTGTTGTTGTTGTTATCACCATCCTCTGCCAAGTAGTGCTGGTGGCTCACCAAACTGCATCTCTGAGGAATCTATCGAATCATAGACTCATATATTCACTGTTGGGCCATGTCAGTTCAAGTGGTGCCAAACTACATTCATTACATAGTGTAGATGCATCCTTATATACACCAAGCCTATACAAAACATTGCTCCCTTCACCAAACACTGGAGGGCCCAAGTTTCCCATGCTTGCTCTACATAGACCCCAACCATACACCTTTCATACAATTCCATTCAAACCATACGTTGTATTTCATGACAGCAGGGCAGACAATAAGATATTACAGGTGGCAACCAGGTAATGCCAGAAAAAAATTGCAGGGCAATAAAAGCATGGTTTTGAAATAGTACAACACCTCCATCCATAAAAGCAATATCTATGGTTTCATTAATCACACTCCCCAAATTATACCCCCTCCAGTGCTATTCTATGTCATACCCAAGAATAGTTAGAATATAGGAGGATTGAATGAAAAGTAATGCCTCCACCTTCGTAACTCCTCAAAAGATGGCAATACTGGTATGTAGCAGGTACTGGCTTGTTCAGTAGACTCTCCTCTACAGTTCCATTTTGGCAGGAAGCCTTAGCATTAAATGGTTGTGTTGTTAAAGTGCGAAGTACGGAACCCTGTGCAGATGGTCGGTCAATGCGACTTAAGCAACGTGCAGTCATTGAATTCTTGACAGCAGAAGGTGTCACCCCAAAGGAGATTCATCAGACAATGCAAGCTTTTTATTGTGATTGTGTTGATGTGTGTACTGTGCGTAATTGGGCGAGAAAGTTTAAAGATGTTGAGGTGGGAACATTCGACTTGCGTGACAAAGAGTTGGACGTCCTGTGACAGCAACCACCGAGTTTCACAAGCAAAAGGTTGACAGATTGATTCAGGACGATCGTCGTATCACTCAGAGAGAAATTTCAAGCATAGTCGGCATTTCACAAGAACGTGTGGGTCACATTATTGCTTTGCTTGGCTATCGGAAGATCTGTGCATGATGGCTACCCAGGATGCAGATGCCTGAAATGAAAGCGCAGACTTGAAATTTCAGAGACTGGATCTCACCACCATACGACATCCTCCATTCAGTCCAGATTTAGCACATTAACCCTTCCATCACCAAACCACCATCAACTACAGAACATATGACATCACCAGACAATTGGATAAATTTCTACCAACAATGAACAAGTTTTCTGAAGCCGTCACAGAAGTTTCCGCAACCAACGTCTCACCGTTTTCTCAACGTCTCCATCAGAAGCATAATGGTGCCCCCGCAGATCTTCTTTCATCATCGGGAATAGATGGAAGTTCAGCACATAGCAGGGCACATAACATGGATTCGGAGTGCAGGAAAAGAGATTCCGTTTAAACATTAGGAAGAAATTGTGGTAAGAGCTGTTCGGCAGTAGAATATGCTGCCTGGGAGTCTGATGGAATCTCTTCCTCTGGAAGTGTTCAAACAAAACGTGGATGGCCACCTGTTTGGAAGGCTTGGAAAGTGTCTTCCTGCCTAACAGAAGAGAGTTGGATTGGATACCTCTTGTCTTCTAACTCTAGGATTTTACAGTTCTATCTAATGCCAGTCAGTGGTTTCATGTGCCACGAGTGCCATGCCTCTCCAACCTACTGTTCTGATTTGTCACAAGGTCAGCAGCACCGTGCCAATGTGGCTGTGTGCGGAGAATTAATAATGCTGCCTGAAATGACCTCTCTTTTCTTCCTCCTCCTCTTTCTTCTAGATGCCAAGGACTTTGATCAGCTGAGCCGGCACAACATCACCCACATCATTTCCATCCATGAATCCCCACAGCCATATATTCCGGTATGGACGCCCAACGGCACCGAGGGACAATGGCTGCGGGTGGGTCAGGGAAGCGGTTTTAGCCTGGAAACTCACCGTGGCCATGGCACACTCTCTCAGCCTTAGGGGAAGGCAGTGGCAAACACTCCAAGCAGATTTTTCCAAGAAAGACTGGCAATGCACCTGCCTTAGGGTTGCAACAGCGTAAAGGCACACAAAGCTACAAACATGTGGCAAATCCTTATTTGTATGTATAAACACAAAAGAGTCAGGAGCTACTTTCATTTCTGTTTGTATCGCTTTCCTATTTTGATTTCCTTCCATCCTTCCTTCCTTCTTCCACTCCGTTCTTTCCTCCTTTCTTTTCTTTTCTTTTCTTTTCCTTTCTTTTCCTTTCCCTTCCCTTCCCTTTTCCCTTTTCCCTTTTCCCTTTTCCTTTCCCTTTTCCCTTTTTCCTTCCTTCCTTCCTTCCTTCCTTCCTTTCTTCCTTCCTTCCTTCCTTCCTTCCTTCCTTCCTTCTTTTCTTCTTTTCTTCTTTCCTTTCCTTTTCCCTTTCCCCTTCCCCTTTTTCCTTTCTTTCTTTCTTTCTTTCCTTCTTTCCTTTCCCTTACCTTCCATTCTTTCCTCCTTCCCTTCCCCTTCCCTTCCTCTCTTTCTTTCTTTCTTTCTTTCTTTCTTTCTTTCTTTCCATCATATCTATACATGGCTTTTTTCACTGTTCAGCTCCATGCTCCCACATTCCGTTTCTTTCTTTTTCTTTTCTTTCTTTCTTTCTTTCTTTCTTTCTTTTTTCTTTCTTTCTTTCTTTCTTTCTTTCTTTTTTTTTTTTGGAAGCTTTGGGCTTTTCTTTCACCTCTGTGCATTTCCCTTTTTCTTTCTTTCTTCCCTTTTTTCTGTCTTTCTTTCCTTCTTTCCTTTCCCTTCTTTCCTCCTTTCCTTTCCCTTCCCGTCCCCTTCCCTTCCCTTTCTTTCCTTCCTTCGTTCCTTCCTCCTTTCCTTTCCCTTCCTTTTCCTTTTTTTCTCTCCCCCTTTCCTTCCTTTCCATTTCTCTTTTCTTTCTTTTTCTCTTTTCTACCTTTCCTTTCCTTTCCCTTCCCTTCCTTTCCCCTTCTTTCTTCCTTTCCTTCCTCCCTGGTTTCTTCTTCTCTTCTTTCACTGTTTGTATTCTTTAATTGCTGTTATAAAAGTCTTTCAGTAATCAGTAAGAAAATGAAAATAAAAGAAGCCTTTTAGATAGCCTCTTGGGGCACGTCGCATTCTCTCAGCCTCAGAGGAAGACAATCCCCCCTTCCACCCACTCTGAACAAATCTTGCCAAGAAAACCCCTTGATAGAGTTTATTTATTTATTTATTTACAGCATTTATTTTCCACCCTTCTCACCCCGCAGGGGACTCAGGGCGGATGACAAAATACGTGTACATATACATGGCAAACATTCAATGCCATAGACGCACAACATATATAGACAGACACACAGAGGCTATTTAACATTCCAGCTTCTTAAAGATTCGCCCTCCCTCCTGTCCTTCAGAAGGATGGTCAAAACTTGGCTGTGGGACCAAGCTTTGGGGACAGCGCAATAAGGCACCGATAGGAAGCTTTACCAAGCCAATTTAGATTTGACACAGATGACCAATGATGGTTTTAAACAGTGTATTTGTATATTTTGATACATGTTTTTAATGTTTATGCATATTCATATCAATTCTTGCCCCGGAATCTTCTAAAAAGTAATATTTCCATCCCCCGATCTCTGATGTGCCTTTGCTTTTCCAGAGAATGAATGGATGTTTTGTTTTCCAGGGGATTACGTACCTCCGCATCGTGCTTCCAGACACTCCGGAGGCCAACATGTAAGTAATGAACACAATAGAAGCGGGACTGTGGCAATAATTTGGGAAACGAAAATAAATAAATTGAAACTTAACAATAGAATCTTAGAGTTGGAAGGGACCCCAAAGACCATCTAGTCCCACCCCATTTGAAGTCCAAAACACTTGGAGGGCCCAAGTTGAAGTCCAGAACACTAGGAGGGCCCAAGTTGAAGTTCAAAACACTTGGAGGACCCAAGTTGAAGTTCAGAACACTTGGAGGACCCATGTTGAAGTCCAAAACACTTGGAGGGCCCAAGTTGAAGTTCAAAACACTTGGAGGACGCAAGTTGAATTTCAGCACACTTGGAGGGCCCAAGTTGAAGTTCAAAACACTTGGAGGGTCCAAGTTGATGTTCAGAACACTTGGAGGACCCCAGTTGAAGTCCAAAACACTTGGAGGACCCAAGTTGAAGTTCAAACCACTTGGAGGACCCAAGTTGAAGTTCAAAACACTTGGAGGCCCCAAGTTGAAGTTCAGAACACTTGGAGGGCCCAAGTTGAAGTCCAAAACACTTGGAGAGTCCAAGTTGAAATTCAAAACACTTGGAGGGCCCAAGTTGAAGTCCAAGACACTTGGAGGACCCAAGTTGAAGTTCAAAACACTTGGAGGACCCAAGTTGAAGTTCAAAATACTTGGAGGGCTCAAGTTGAAGTTCAGAACACTTGGAGGGCCCAAGCTGAAGTCCAAAACACTTGGAGGGCCCAAGTTGAAGTTCAAAACACTTGGAGGACTAAAGTTGAAGTCCAAGACACTAGGAGGGCCCAAGTTGAAGTCCAAAACATTTGGAGGGCCCAAGTTTACCCAAGAAAGTGTAGATGCACCCCCTACTTTCTGTTCTGGATCCTGCCTCGTGTTTTGCAAATCCTTTTCTCCGTCATGGTTTCACTGGCCATTGAGTGACCCTTGGCTTTTTGACCTCCAGGCTGCTAATCTCCCCTGCTGCTTATCTCTTCTGCTAGGAAATTGCAATCAATGTGAAAGAGAAAGTTGAGCGGTTGCCAAATGCGCCAGCTCTTTGCCCCATCACGTTACAAAGCACTCTCGTGCACATGGGAACTCGCCCATGTGCAGGTTACACTTTAACAGCAACCGGACGCAAAGTTGGCAAGGGAATCTTTTTTTATGGTCAAGGATATCTGTTATTGCATTTCCAACCGCTGCTCAGGTGAAGGGATCACAGCCAAACATAGAAGATAAGCAACGGTTCAGGGTTTGGGCAGCCTTGGGCTTTGTCTCCATAGACTCCTAGTTGGAAAGGGTCCCCAGAGGCCATCTAGTCCAATCCCTGTCTCAATACAGGAGCTCTACCTTAAGCTTCCTCAGCAAGGAGCGTTCCAGTCTCTTCTTGAAGAAGTAATTGCTTCCATTGCTGAACCATTCTTACTGTCAGAAGGTTGAAGAATTGAAATCTATCCTCCTGCAATTCAAAGCCATCAGGACTGATTCCTATTGCTTCACTAGCATAGAGTCACACTGGAGGACCTAAGGATGCATCTACACTATAGAATGAATGCAGTTTGACGTCACTTTAATTGGGTTGCTGTAAGTTTTCCAGGCTGTGTGGCCATGTTCCAGAAGCATTCTCTCCTGACGTTTCTCCCACATCTATGGCAGGCATCCTCAGAGGTTGAGAGGTCTGTTGGAAACGAGGCAAGTGGGGTTTATATATCTGTGGAATGATGTCCAGGGTGGGAGAAATAACTCTTGTCTGTTGGAGGCAAGTGTGAATGTTGAATCGGCCACCTTGATTAGCACTGAATGGCCTTGCAGCTTCAAAGCCTGGCTGCTTCCTGCCTGGGGGAATTCCATATACATCTGTGGAATGTCCAGGGTGGGATAAAGAACTCTTGTCTGTTGGAGGCAAGTGCAAATGTTCAAATTGGCCACCTTGATTAGCATTGAATGGCCTTGCAGCTTCAAAGCCTGGCTGCTTCCTCCTTGGGGGAATCCTAGATACATCTGTGGAATGTCCAAGGTGGGATAAAGAACTCTTGTCCGTTGGAGGCAACTGCAAATGTTGCAATCGGCCACCTTTATTAGCATTGAATGGCCTTGCAGCTTCAAAGCCTAGCTGCTTCCTGGGGGAATTCCATATACATCTGTGAAATGTCCAGGATGGGATAAAGAACTATTGTCTGTTGGAGGCAAGTGTGAATGTTGCAATTGGCCACCTTGATTAGCATTGAATGATCTTGCAGCTTCAAAGCCTGGCTGTTTCCTGCCTGGGGGAATCCTAGATATATCTGTGGAATGTCCAAGGTGGGATAAAGAACTCTTGTCTGTTGGAGGCAAGTGTGAATGTTTCAATTGGCCACATTTATTAGCACTGAATGGCCTTGCAACTTCAAAGCATGGCTGCTTCCTACCTGGAGGCATCCTTTGTCAGGGGCGGCTCGTCCATTACGCGAAGTAAGCGGTCGCAGAACACTTTTTTTTGCCAGGGGCGCAGAGGCGCCTCTGTAAATGCCCCTCGACCGCCACTTGAGGAGCGCCCCCTCAGCTCACAACAGCCCTAGCAGTCCGGGGGGAGCCTCGGCTTTCTTGCCTCGCTGCCGGGCGATCCTCTTCCCAAAGGGGCCGGGCCCTTGAGCCTCGCCTAGCCCCTCTCGTTCCTGCTCCACCCGGCCACCGGGTGCGTGAGCAGAGCCGGCGCTCAATCGTTCTCCGTGTTTGATCCCTTCCCCATGACCGGCTCCCTTTCCCGATCCTCCAGCGCTCCACCTGCCTCCTCTCCTCTCACCAATCCGCCGGTGGGCCCGCTTCAGGTCCGGAGGCGTTTCTGAAGACCCCAGCGTGCGGACCAAAAGTTGCCTCTTCTCCTGACTTTCTCTTCAGCCATTGGGACCAAGAGAGAGAGAGAGAGAGCCCCTCCAGCTGGAGGTATCTCCCACCTCCGCTCCCTCCTTTGTTTTTGTGCCTACCTTCAGGAAAGGTGGGCATCTCCACCTCTCTTTCTCTCTCTCTCTCTCTCTCTCGCTCCTGGTCCCAATGGCTGAGGAGAAAGTCAGGAGAAGAGGTGACTTTTGGTGCACACGCCGGGGTCTTCAGGCCCGCCTCCGGACCCAAAGGGGCCAGGCAAGGGAGCAACTGTGGCAAGTGTAGTTACTGGGATGTATAGTTCACCTACAATCAAAGAGCATTCTGAACTCCACCAATGATGGAATTGAACCAAATATGGCACACAGAAGTCCCATGACGAACAGAAAATATATATCAATGATTGGTTGGGGGGAGGGGAGCGCCAAAATACTGTTTGCTTACCGTTGAAAATTACCTAGGGCCGCCTCTGTCCTTTGTTGAGAGGTATTAGCTGGCCCTGATTCTTTCTTTTCCGGTTTTCCCCTGTTTTCTGAGTGTTGTTCTTTTTTTACTGTCCTGATTTTGGAGTTTTTCAGTACTGAGGATGCCTGCCATAGATGTGGGTGAAATGTCAGGAGAGAATGCTTCTGGAACATGGCATATGGCCCGGAAAACTCACAGCAATTCAGTTATTCTGGCCATGAAAGCCTTTGACAGCACATGACTCAGCGGTAATGGGAGTGGTAGTTTTGCAAGGTCTTTAACTTTCAAAAGAGGGCCAGAGCCCCAATGAAGTGCAATTCCCAGGATGTCCAAAAGAGGATGATTAAAACGATCAAGGGTCTGGAGAACAAGCCCTATGAGGAGCGTCTTAAAGAGCTGGGTGTGTTTAGCCTGAAGAAGAGAAGGCGGAGAGGAGACATGATTAGGGCCATGAATGAAGATCTGAGGGGAAGTCCTAGGAAGGAGGGAGCAAGCATAAATATGTGAAAGGAAGTCATAGGGAGGAGGGAGCAAGCTTGTTTTCTGCTACCCTGGAGACTAGGACACAATGGAGCCATGGCTTCAAACTACAGGAAAGAAAGGAAATTCCACCTGAACATTAGGAAGAATTTCCTGATTGTGAGAGCTGTTCAGCAGTGAAACTCTCTGCCCTGGAGTGTGGTAGAGGCTCCTTCTTTGGAGGCTTTGAAACAGAGACTGGATGGCCATCTGTCGGGGGTGCTTTGAATGCAATTTTTCTGCTTCTTGGCAGGGGGTTGGATTGGATGGCCCATGAGGTCTCTTCCAACTCTATGATTCCATGATTCCATAACACTGAGCCATAGTAGTTAAAGTAGTGTCAAATTGCATTCATTGGATCCAGCCTGTCCGGGATGCCTTTTTTGTGATTGTTCCTCCTTAGCTTGAAACTGCACTTGAGGGAACGTGCACACAACTCAGCCCAATGCCAAGTCTCAATAAAGAAGGGAACTTGCCTCAGCCGGTTTCTGGGAGCAGCGCATTTTTCACGCTATCATCTTACTCTCGTTTTGCAATCTAGGTTTCTGTTCCAGTCCCACAAAGGCAAGCAGAAATCCTTTGTGTTTCTGTTCCCAGAAGATCGTATGCCAAGTTCCTCCGAAACCCGGGTCTGACTCTTGATTTTCCCGTTGTTGCATACATGGCTTTGTATCCGAACGCTTCCCAAAAACATTAGTTCAGTTGTGTTTACCATTGTTTGGTTTTGCAGTACAACCCCCATATCTGCAGAGGAGACATTCCTGGACTTAGCATGGAAATGCAAAGCAAAGATAATAGCGAATCCTATTGAAACGAACCAGTTCCAATGGAAATATACCATAGAATTGCACTGGAGTGCCAAGAAAATGCCTCAATCTTGTCACAACACTCCTCAAAGTCCCTTGTGTCCGAGTCTGGTTGCTTCCGAAGTGTAAGGTCTTGGTTGTGGGTCCATAGGTGACCATAGGTGACCGCATGTTCTTCCACAGTGAGGACATTGGTTTCCAGACGGAAGGCGGTCCCAGTCAGAGTTGGCAAGACATCCCTTCCTCTTGACACATTTCTCCCTTTCGCCCTCCATTCGTGCCTCTTCGAATTCCACAGCATTGCTAGTCACAGCTGACCTCTAGTTAGATGCTTGAGAGCCAAGACTTCCCAGTTCTCTGTCAGTGTCTATGCCACAGTTTTTAAGGTTAGCTTTAAGCCCATCTTTAAATCTCTTTTCCAGTCCACCAACATTATGTTTCCCATTCTTGAGTTGGGAATATAGTAACTGCTTTGGGAGACAGAGATCTTTGGGCATTTGGACAATGTGGAGGAGTTGATGGCTGTTAGGGAATCCTCATCTTCAGAAGTGGAAGGGGAGCAGGAAAGTGTTCAGGAATCAGAAGGGGAAGTGAAATCAGACGATGACGTCTTGCAAGTGCCCATATTTCTGGAAAGGCGAAAGGAAAGAGAGCACAGATGGCGTTCAGCTAGAATAGCTGCTAGAAACGCCGAGGTAATTGGGAACCGCCTTAGCACCTCCTGCATGCGGAATTCAGGGCTATAAATCAGAAGCAGGAGGAGTTAGCTTTTGCTGGTGACAAATGACTCTGATGCTGATGCCTTCACTCCAACTGTACTTGCTTCGAGTCTGCTTCTAAGGATTTAGTGGTCATTGCCCATTGTCTGATGTAAGACTGCTGTTTCTTTTGGACTTTATCAGAGACTTGAGTTTTGTGTCTGCATTAAGACTTCCTTGCTTTCTTTTGCATTTTTCAACTGCATTTGCTGTTCTCTTGTGTTTGCTGAAGTAAAGCATTTTTCATTTACTTTCAATGTGGTATTAAGGCTGTTCTTGAAGGGCAAATCAGGACAATGACGAAGGAGCATCGCTTCAGTGCTGGTGGCCTTTGCTTCTTCCAGATGCTGACATTTGTCCGCCTGTCTTTTCAAGAGATTTGCAGGATTTTTCAGAGGCAACGCTGTTGGAATCGTTCCAGGAGTTGAGAGTGACACCTATAGACTGTCCACGTTTCACAGGCGTATAGCAGGGTTGGGAGTACAATAGCTTTATAAACAAGCACCTTAGAATCATAGAATCAAAGTGTTGGAAGAGACCTCATGGGCCATCCAGTCCAACCCCCTGCCAAGAAGCAGGAATATTGCATTCAAATCACCCCTGGCAGATGGCCATCCAGCCTCTGTTTAAAAGCTTCCAAAGAAGAAGCCTCCACCACACTCCGGGGCAGAGAGTTCCTTGGTCTCCCTAAGGATGTCCCGGTCCTCAAACACTCTCTGATTCATTCAGAAGAATGCTTCACTTGCAGAGCTCAGGCGGTGTTGTATTTCAGTGTCAATGTTGACTTTTGTGGAGAGGTGGCTGCCAAGGGAGCAGAAATGGTCAACATTTTCTAACATTACACCACTAAGCTGTATTTCTGGCACTGCAGGGAGATTGTCTGGTTTCTTTGGCTAAAAGAGAACTTTGGTTTTCTCAATGTTCTGTGTTGAGAGTGGCTTGTATGTCTTTTTCTGAATGAGCACAGACGATGTTATCATCAGCATATTGGAGTTCTATAACAGATGTTGTTGTGACCTTGGTTTTGGCTTTCAGCCTGTTAATGTTAAATAGCTTGCCATCTGTCCAATAGATAATTTCCATGCTGGTGGGAAGCTTCCCATCAACAAGGTGATGTATCATAGCAATGAAGATGGAGAATAAGGTTGGGGCAGTAACACATCGCTGTTTGACACCTGATTCATCCTTAAATAGGTCACTTTGGGATCCACCACTGTCCAAGACTGTTGTAATCATGGAGGAGCCGCAGAATGTTCACAAATTTGTCAGGGCACCCGATTTTTTGGAGGATGGAATTCACTTTGTCGAATGCCTTTGCAAGGTCAATGAATGCCATGTACAGAGATTGATTTTGTTCCCTGCATTTTCCTTGGAGCTGTCATGCAGTGAAGATCATGTCCACGGTTCCTCTGGGGGGGCGGAAGCCGTTCTGGGATTCTGGGAGGGTGTCTTCTGAGAGGGGCAGAAGGCGGTTTGCAAGGATTCTTGCGAGGATTTTCCCAGCGGAGGTTAGAAGGGAGATACCTCAATAGTTTCCGCAGTCTGTTTTTCCCCCTTTGTTGAAGAGGGTGATGATGGTGGCATCCTTGAAATCTGCTGAGATTTTCTCGGTTACCCACACTTTGTCAATGAGTTGGTGGGGTTGTTGTGCCAGCTCAGGTCCACCCTCCTTAACGATTTTAGCAGGGATCCCATTAGGTCCGCTGGCTTTGTTATTTTTTTGTTGGTTGATGGCATTGCTGACTTTTTCCAAACTAGGCAGTGCTGCAAGTCTCTTAAGACTCCTAGATCCCTGTCTTGACGTTGCTTTGCTTCTTCCCCTCCAGCAAGAAGCACTTTAAGAAATGCATCCACTTTATCCACTCCTGCCGTCTGCATGGAGGAAACTGCCTTGTCCATTGGTAAGTTCTGCTTCTGCAAGGGGAGGCTCTTGCATGATGCTCATAAAATTTCATTTTCATTGCTTCCCTTTGGTTAAGAAAACTTTTAAAGTTGTGTTTCTTGAGTTTTAGAAAATATTGAACAGGACCTCAATACCAGACGAGCTGATTCCTTTCACCCTTTCCTGCTTGTGTACTGAGATTATTTGTTTGTTTACAAGTTTTTTATTTCATTTTCACAGTCTTCTAACATAAAGGAAAGAGGGAAAAATGATGGGAGATAATGGGAAAATATGATATGTTGGTCACGGAGTTTTGTTAGTAAATTAATTGTATACATGAGTCTTGTATCACCAGGGGTATGAAGATTGTTATACATATTATCTAACATATAAAGGAGTTCCATCAACAGTATCTTCTATTCCGAAAGCAAACAGATTCTTATCATTGGGCCTTCCAAACTACCCTGGTTTGTGTTTTGGAAAGGCTTGGGCTTAGAATCAGCATGTCTAGATTGCCATCCTCATTCATGCTTAGTGGGAATACAACTCGTCAAGAAGCGATCATGTGCTTGGCCCCAAACAACTTGCCTCCTTTCTTTCCTCCATAGCCTTGCTGGCATCTCCCGCAGCACCACCTTGGTCCTGGCCTACATTATGACGGTGACGCAGGCCAGCTGGCGCGAAGCTCTGCAGGCGGTCAAGGCTGTCCGGCCAGTGGCCAACCCCAACCCGGGTTTCCGTCAGCAGCTGGAGAATTACGAGGGAAGCCGCACCGAGCAGAAGGTGAGAGCGAAGCCATCTGGGTTTTGATATGGACATGTCTCTGGGTGCAACTACACCAGGCGTGGGCTAACTTTGTCCCTTCCTCCAGGCATTTTGGACTTCAACTCCCACAATTCTTAACAGCTGATAGGCTGTTAGGAATTTTGGGAGTTGGAATCCGAAACACCTGGAGGGAGAGCCAAAGTTGGCCCATGCCTGAACTACATTGTGAAATGACTGCAACTTGAGATCACTTTATCTGGCATATTTCAATGCAATGGAATCCAGGGAGTTTCTCTTTTACGAAGTCTTTAGCCTTTAGAAAATCGTGTTAAGATATGCATGTTATCTAAAGTATTTTATTATAGAGATATTACTATGTTGTGCCCCACCTTGAGCCGTGAGGAGAGGCAGGTAATAAATATAATGTTCTTGTTGTTATTATTATCATCATCCCCTACCAAATAGTCCTGCTGCCTTACCAACAATATGGTGTTGATGTTGTTCTTGTTTTTGTTGTTATCATTATCCTTTACCAAATAGTGCTGGCACTTAACCATCAATATAATGTTGTTGTTGTTGTTGTTGTTGTTGTTGTTGTTATCATCCTCTACCAAGTAGTGTTGTTGCAGCATATTATAGGAGGGATTATATCAAGAGAGATCCTTTCAGGAGGTCAGAAAAGTACGGCTTTTATTTCCAGCTGGGGCCCTGAAGTGGAGCTGTGTCCCAAAAGCATCCAGAGCCCTGCTATAGGCATTGACTATGGCTTTTATACACTCCAATTGCAGGCAAACAAAGAACATGTTTCTACATACATTGAGATCATTCTCTGCGTCACTTTAGCATCACAGAAATATCAAATTCTGTCTTCCAACATACAAAAGGCATGTTCTGTATTTCTTTCTAGGACCAGCATACAGCTTACATTCATCAATCAAGGGGCCTACTTTGACCTGTCACGAGGGAGGGGTATTGGCTCCGTTTGTACCAGTCTCTCTCTCTGGAACATATAGATAACATGCCCCTCTCGTCTGGAATGTTCAGCCCCCCTCTTGCTGTGCCTTGACAGCAGCTTGCTTGTCCTGTCAGCTTGGATTTCTGATACAGAGAGAGCCTGATTTTTCTATATATTTCAGTGCTTGTACAGTACATACAATTTATGCATAAATAAATATATATTTTTCCAATATCTCCTGATCAGTGTTGGTGCCTAACCGTCAATATAATGTTGTTGTTGTTGTTGTTATTGTTGTTATCATTATCCTTTACCAAATAGTGCTGGCACTTACCCATCAATATAATTTTGTTGTTGTTGTTGTTGTTGTTGTTGTTGTTGTTGTTATCATCATTCTCTACCAAGTAGTGCTGGTGCCCAACCATCAATATAATGTTGTTGTTGTTGTTGTTATCATTATCCTCCTCTACCAAATAGTGCTGGTGCCTAACTGTTAATATAATATTATTGCTGTTGATATTGTTATTATTCTCATCATCATCTACTAAATATTGCTGGTGCCTAATCATTATATACAATGTCCTTGCTGTTATTGTTGTTGTTGTTGTTATTATTATCATCATCATCCTCTACCAGATGGTGCTAGTGCCTAACCGCTAATACAATGTTGTTGTTGTTGTTATCATCATCATCATCATCATCATCATCCTCTACCAAATAGTGCTGGTGCCTAACCATCAATATAATGTTGTTGTTGTTGTTGTTGTTAATGTTGTTGTTGTTGTCATCATCATCATCCTCTACCAAATAGTGCTGGTGCCTAACCATCAATATAATGTTGTTGATGTTGATGTTGATGTTGTTGTCGTCGTCATCATCCTCTACCAAATAGTGCTGGTGCCTAACCATCTTATAATGTTGTCGATATTGATGTTGTTGTTGTGTGTTTTCCAGGCAGTATGGCCCTGAAAGCCTTTAACAATACAGTCTTGTTACTGTTATTGTTGTTGGTGGTGTTGTTATCACCATCCTCTGCCAAGTAGTGCTGGAGGCTCACCAAGCTGCATCTCTCAGGAATCTAGAGAACTCATAGATCCACTATTGGGCAATGTCAGTTCAAGTGGTGCCAAACTACCTTGAGTCCCTATATCACAGGTATGGGCAAACTTGGTCCCTCCAGGTGTTTTGGACTCCAACTCCCATAATTCCTAACAGCCTACCGGCTGTTAGGAATTGTGGGAGTTGGAGTCCAAAACACCTGGAGGACCCAAGTTTGCCCATGCCTCAATATCAGGAGAAAGATGAGCTAGAAATAATCGTTTTCCTTGATGCTGTTTCCAGATCCGCCGGCGACTCGAGCGCAAGTATGGCGAGAACCCCTTTAACGACGTGGAGGAAATCGGGGCTCTGCTGACCGGCAAACGGAGGGAGACCTTCAGGGACGAAGATGCAACGCAGACCGCGATGCCCAAGAGCCAAGGCGCCACCAAGCGCACGGATCCGTTCCTCTTGCGCATGAAAGAGACCTTTTTCTGCCTCCCAGGGTGCCTGAAATGAGACCCTCCCAAAGCACTCTGAGCATGCGCAGAGGCTCGGCTCACCACATCAGACTGGCCAAGGGGGCAACCCCTGGCAAAGAGATGCTCCGTCCAGCGGAAAGAGGGCAAATATGTCATAAAGGACACACTGTAGTTTCATAAAGAAGGACACTAATGGGTGACAATGTCCAGTCTGCTTTGCCTGCCGGATTTGGAGGGGTCATCTAGTCTGACCTTGCCTCAAGTGCAGGAATCCACAGCTAAAGTCCACCCTGCTTTCCTTGTTTTGCTGGTTATCTAATCTTTACTTAAACAGCCCAGTATGGGTAGTCCAGATATGGACAGCTTTCCCCATCGGAAAGTCATAAGGAAGTAACTTTTGGGAGATTTGACGTCCTTTAACTTGGGTCCTGAAGTCTCTTAAGACTCAATAGGACAACCTTCAATGCTATGCCATAGATCAAGGGTCAGAAATTTCCCAAAAGAGGTCCTTGGGAAGGAATTTAACCAAAGAATTATTGTATTGTCGAAGGTTTCATGGCCAGAATCACTGGGTTGTTGGAGATTTTTCGGGCGGTATGGCCATGGTCTAGAGGCATTATCTCCTGACATTTCACCTGCATCTATGGCAAGCATCCTCACTACCATAGATGCAGGCGAAACGTCAGGAGAGAATGCCTCTAGACGATGGCGATACAGCCCAAAAAAACCTACAGCAACCCAAAGAATTATTATTATTGTTGTCGTTATTTTACTGACACAGAAACACATTATGACACAGCAAACGAGATATATATATATATCCTGGATTTCGTATCACAAAATCACATTATTATTATTATTATTATTCTGACACAAAAACACAGTATGTCGCAGCAAATGAGATCTATATGCTGGATTTCGTACAGATCTCATTTGCTGTGACATACTGTGTTTTTGTGTCAGAATAATAATAATAATAATAATAATAATAATAATAATCGGCACACTGGGTGCAGTGCCTAAAGACCTTGGCCTGCACTTAAACACAATCGGTGCTGACAAAATTACCATCTGCCAGCTGCAGAAGGCCACCTTACTGGGATCTGCACGCATTATTCACCAATACACCACACAGTCCTAGACACTTGGGAAGTGTCTGATGTGTGATCCAATACAACAGCCAGCAGAGAGTGTGCTGTGGACTCATCTTGTTGTGTTTCAAATAATAATGTGATTTTGCGTTACAAAATCCAGGAATAATAATAATAATAATAATAATAATAATTATTATTATTATTATTATTATTATTATTATTTCAAGAGAAGGATGGATAGAAAAAAAGAAAACCCAGGAAGACTGTTATTGCATGGCAAAGAGCCTTTTTCTTCAATGTCTGTGTGTCTTTGGTTGCATCTACATTATAGAATTTAGTGCAGTTTGACACCACTTCAATCACTAGGGCTCAGTGCAATGGCATCAAGGGAGTTGTAGTTTTGCAACTCTTTCACCATCTCTGCCAAAGAGTGTGGGTTCCTCACCCAACTACAATTCCCAAGATTCCATACCGTAGAGCCATGGCAGTTAAAGTGGTGTCAAGCTGCATTAATTTTGCAGTGTAGACGCACCCATCGTCGTCTTCTCTTCGCTGTGTCTGACTTTCCTTGTTGAGCATCTAGAAATGAATGTAGCTTGACTCCACTTTCATTGCTGTGGAATAGTGGGATTTGTAGTTTGGTAGTGATAGCTGATGGCCTTGTAAAGCTACATCTCCCAAGGCAGTTAAAGTGGCATCAAGCTGCATTACTTCTACAGTGTAGACGCACCCCAAGACTCTCTGCTGTGTCTGGCTTTCCTTGCTGAGCATCTAGAAATGAATGTAGTTTGGGCATCAAGAGAGTTGTAGTTCTGCAAGGTCTTTCGCCTTCTCTGTCAAAGAGTGCAGTTGCCTCACCAAACTACAATTCCCAGGATTCCATACCATAGAGCCATGGCAGTTAAAGTGGTGTCAAGCTGCATTAATTCTACAGTGTAGATGCACCCCAAGACTCTTTGCTGTGTCTGGCTTTCCTCGTTGAGCATCAAGAAATGAATGTAGTTTGGGCATCAAGGGAGCTGTAGTTCTGCAAGGTCTTTCGCCTTCTCTGTCAAAGAATGCAGGTGCCTCACCAAACTACAATTCCCATGATTCCACACCATAGAGCCATGGCAGTTAAAGTGGTGTCAAGCTGCATTCATTCTGCAGTGTAGACGCACCCCAAGACTCTGCTATGTCTGGCTTTCCTTGTTGAGCACCTAGAAATGAATGTACTTTGATGACACTTTAATTGCTGCGGAATAGTGAGATTTGTAGTTTGGTGGTGATAGCTGTCAGCCTTGTAAAACTACATCTCCTGTGGCAGTTAAAGCGGTGTCAGGCTGCATTAATTCTGCAGTGTAGACGCACCCCAAGACTCTTTGCTGTGTCTGGCTTTCCTTGTTGAGCATCTAGAAATGAATGTAGTTTGACTCCACTTTAATTGCTGTGGAATAGCAGGATTTGTAGTTTGGTAGAGATATCTGATGGCCTTGTAAAACTGCATCTCCTGTGGCAGTCAAAGTGGTGTCAAGCTGCATTCTTTCTTCACTGCTGATGCTCTGCTAATCACTTTGCCTTGTGCGCTTTCTCTTGTGATGCCTAAACTAAATTTCCAAATGCCCAAAGGGAAACTTGATGCAGATATCAACACAGTATTCTTATTTTGGGGAAGCAATGCTCTCATGCTGCCTTTCCTTCCATGTCGCTGCAGCCTTTGGCAGCAATACAGAGCATTGTGTGCATGTGCTTTTGTAAGTGAGGAAGGTATCAGATTAGAAACCGAAAGCGAGCCTTATCAGGGCAAACAGAGGCGTGGTGTTTGCACAGTCATGTCCTTTCCTTTTCTGGATTTGGAACCCACAAAGTCTTACATGCTTTCCTAAGCACAAATGTGTGGCTGGGTCTGTATTGCTTTATGGCTACGGTTTGGACCTGCATTATATGGTCAGTGTATACTGTATCCATAAACCCCTCCACCAGAACTATTATCAAACACAGCCATCCCTTTCTTACTTTACTTAGGCGATCCCTTGTAGCTCAAGGATGATGGTCCTTCAAGTCTGGTGTCTTGGCGGTGGGTCCGTAGGTGGCTGTGGAGCCCTATTCTTGATCCGCATGTTCTCCTGCAGTGAGGACATCGGTTTCCAGATGGAAGGCGGTCCTGGTCAGGGTTGGCTTGATGCGCCTTCCTCTTCGCACCTTTCTCCCTTTCGCCCTCCATTCGTGCCTCTTCGATTTCTGCAGCACCGCTGGTCACAGCTGACCTCCAGTTAGAGCGCTCAAGGGCCAGCGCACTTACAGCAGAGCACAAATGACAAAGCTCAGCAAACAATGCAGGGGATGCATGAGATGCCAGCTATTGTCCAAATGGGCTTTATTCTGCTCACAAAAACAGATCAGTGTACAGCGGAATATTTAATTCTTATTTCACACCAACAGTCGCAGAGGAATTGAGGTATTATTAGTAAACTGCAAAGATGTGCAATGGTATGTGCAACGGGGCAGCAGTGGAACTCTCTGCCCTGGAGTGTGGTGGAGGCTCCTTCTTTGGAAGCTTTTAAACAGAGGCTGGATGGCCATCTGTCAGGGGTGATTTGAATGCCATATTCCTGCTTCTTGGCAGAATGGGGTTGGACTGGATGGCCCATGAGGTCTCTTCCAACTCTTTGATTCTATGATTCTATAAGAGTGCTCCAATGTGCATCAGGCTGTTCACTGCTATCGTATGTGCACACATTGATCCTATTGTGCATTGATCCCTATCCAGTGTTCCAGTGTTTATCAAGAGTAGGCAATGCTGCTTGATGCACATGGATGGCAATGGGCATTGCTTTTGGTGTGTAGTAGTTGAAGGCATATGTCCTTATTCTTGATTCGGTGATTCTAGCAGCAAAGGAGTTACAGAGCATTGGAATTGGGTTGCTGTGCATTTTCTGGGCTGTGTGGCCATTTTTTTTTTGTCGTGTCAGGGGCGACTCGAGAAACTGCAAGTCGCTTCTGGTGTGAGAGAATTGGCCGTCCGCAAGGACGTTGCCCAGGGGACACCTGGATGAATTGATGTTTTTATCATCCTTCTCTCATGTCCCCGCATGAGGAGCTGGAGCTGATAGAGGGAGCTCATCCGCCTCTCCCCGGATTTGAACCTGCGACCTGTCAGTCTTCAGTCCTGCCGGCACAGAGGTTTAACCCACTGCGCCACCGGGGGCTCTGTCTGACCATGATCCAGAAGCATTCTCTCCTGACGTTTCGCCTGCATCTATGACAGGCATCCTCAGAGGTTGTGAGGTCTGTTGGAAACTAAGGAAACAGGGTTTATATATAGCATTGGAACTGTTCAATGATATTTTAGGGTACATTAACTCTGTAGCATGAATGCAGTTTGGCACCACTTTAGTAGCGATCGTTTAATGCTATGGAGTTCCAGGAGTTGCGGCTCAAAGAGGTAACCACACCTTATAAAATTGCAACTCCCTGGATCCCATTGCATTGAGCCATAGCAGTTAAAGTGGTGTCAAACTGCATTATTTCTGCAGTGCAGATGCACCAAACAAAGGCCATTGTAGGTTCTTGTGGGTTTTTTCGGGCTATAGGGTTCTAGAGGCATTTCTCCTGACGTTTCGCCTGCATCTCTGGCAAGCATCCTCAGAGGTAGTGAGGTCTGTTGGAATAGACAATGGGTTTATATATCTGTGGAATGGCTGGGGTGGGGCAAGGAGCTCTTCTCTGCTGGAGCTAGGTGTGAATGTTTCAACTGACCACCTTCATTAGCATTTGAAGGCCTGGCTGAGCCTGGGAAAATCTTTTGTTGAGAGGTGTTAAGATGTGCCTGGTTGTTTCCTCTCTGCTGTTTGCTGTTGTAATTTTAGAGTTTTTTAATACTGGTAGCCAGATTTTGTTCATTTTCATGGTCTCTCCCTTTCTGTTGAAATTGTCCACATGCTTGTGGATTTCAATGGCTTCTCTGTGTAGTCTGACATGGTGGTTGTTGGTGTGGTTAAGCATTTCTGTGTTCTCAGGCCATTGTCCTGAGTTGCCCTTCAAAAACAGCCTTTAGACAATGTTGAAAGTAAAAGAAAAATGCAGGCGAAACATCAGGAGAGAATGCCTCTAGACCATAGCCA